GATGAACTATGTCTGAATGGCATATAAATCTAATTAATTACTGTTAGCCCTCCCTGTTTAGACAAATAATAATAACTAGTTATTCTAAACCACCATTTGATCACATAGTTTAGACTGCGTCTCAAAGTCCGACAAATGCATTTTAGGAGTTTCAGCCTATTGCATTCGTAAGCATGACACTAGTGAATGAGCATACTTAAGTCACTGAATAATGAATTCAAATAAGGTTTGCTGTTCTGATTTTGAAGAGGTTTGTTGAAGAATACAGAAATCTAGCAATTATATTGTCAGGAAGTCTAATTCAACCAATTATTTGTAATTTAAACTAGTTAGGACTGTAGAAATAAATAAATGATCAAGATTTTGGGTAATAACTAGCACTGGATTATATTAAAATACATCTGGATTTCAATAGATTCCACATTCATTTAGCATCATAAATAATGGGTCGAAAGGGCTTCATACTTATCTTGAGCAGAAATAAAAGAGATTTAATCGAAGATATAAAGACCAAGATGGTGTGGCCTTTTGTGTGGTCGCAGTCACCTTTCGATGTATAGAAGTTCTTTAACCTTATTTTCGCAAATTGGTCATATTGTTGGGAAGACTTAGAGAAACGCACCTTTTCCGGAGTCCATTGCATACATAATCCTTTCCAAAGTAGGACCGTTGACATGGTACATTCCCAGACGTTTCGCCGGCATCGTAATCGGCATCGTCAGTGAGCCATTCGAATAAGATGCCGACGAAACGTCTAAGAATATACCACGTCCACGGTCCGACTTTGGAAATGATCATGCATACAATGGACTCCGGACTAGATGTGTTCCTCTGAGTCTTCCTACCAACATGACCAAGTTGCGAAAACAAGGTCAAACGACTTCTATACAAAGAGATTTAAACTTGGATTTATGACTCCTGCATGCTGGTTCGAATAGGAGTAATGTATGCTTTTATTCAAACATAAAATAGCCACACATATCATGGGATGCCTCATTAAGATGGCGGCTCAAATCCCGCTGGGGGCGCTGATGGACCTAGGCGAGGTCAAAACTTCAGTCCATCGTGGATGGGAATACTTTTTGGGTGGCAAGGCTATGTGAAATTCAATGGAGAAATGGTGTCTACTCATATA